AAGGAATACAATTTATGACTGTACTGTAGATCATAATTACTGGTACAAGTATTACTATATACTAGTATATTGTACAAACAGTTGTACCTTGATATTTGATATACTTCTGATGATCTTCCTTCTCTTAGTCTCAGCTTCCATGCTCCTAGCTTACCCTTTAGCTGGTAATAACCCTAAAAACAACAAATAATATCAAAATTGAAATTTGAAAATAAAAATTAGCCAATTTTTGTCAAAAATGAAAAGGTGAAAATTCTTCCTTTTATATTTTTGTCTCATGTGTATACGTGTTCCAATGTTGTGCAGAAAGTTTCAGCCAATTCTGATCAAAATTGAATTTTTAATGATTTTTTAAAGTTGCTCCAAAATCAGGTCAAAGTGCCTGTACAGGGTCATTGGCCAAATTTTGCCAAAAATAAAAAGGTGGTAATTCTCCACTTTTATATTTTATTCTGATACATATACATGTTCTCATGCTCAGTATCAAGTTTGAGCTGATTCTGATCAAATTAAATTTTTTTATGAATTTTTAAAGTTGCTTGAAAATCATACTGTACAATATACACATGTAGTGTGTGTATAGTATAATGTACTTACAAGATTAGCCATTACTATTGTATCATATAGTTCAGGATCAGTATCAGTACCCATCACATACTGTAGACCAGGTATAGGAGAATCCATATGAGCATCAAAGCACTGTCCTTAATAATAAATAAGAGACACAGTAAATTACATGTACATGTACAAGTAATTTCATTAGTTACTATACTATCACAATTAAACACAAGTCTATTAATAACGGATTGAGAAAAACTTTTCGAGGACAAATCTAACTAAAATGGGAGACTTACGGATACAGGCAATCAAAAGCTATGGGAGATTTCAGAAATTCATATTCTTCCCAAACTAGGGGCCCTAAATTTCCAGAATTTCCCTCTAGATCTAACAGTGGAATTGTCCTTTGCTGGCTTACTTCTCACTCCCTTTCCCTCTATCTCTCTCTCCCTCCCCTCCCCTATCTCTCTCCTTCTCTCTCCCCCTTCCTCTCCCTCTCTCTCCTCCTTTACCTTCCACTAGTATATATTCCAGTACAAACTCAGCCTCTACTCGGTCCTCAACTGATGCTAGATGAATATTGTCCAAATCATAAGGTGAATAAATAGCTTCAACCATCCAGGAGTGAGGTACGTCCATATTGAGAGTAAAGAGAGGAGAAGGGAGGGAGGGATCTAAACACAGCACTAGTGCCATCAGTTGATATGAATC